TTGGGTCGTTCATCTGTGGCACATAAGAGTCAGGTAGAGGCGGTAGGCACTGAGCTGAGAGTATATAGGGTTTCCAAGGAATGGTCTTGGCGCAGCTGCTAGGGAGCGAGCCGCACGTTCGGCGCTGGCGCCGCTGTTGTCCAAGCTCGAGGAGGTCCCTTTCTATCCTCTCTGCCCGGGCTGCCGCTCGCGCCGCCGACCCGGATAGGGGTAGGTAAGAGTGGTTGTTGGGTGCGGGCAAAGAAGGAGGTGGAGGGTGGGGTCCCTATGAAATGTGGGGGCCCGGGGCTGGAGCCTCTTTCACTTCCTCTAATCAGGGGGGGTAGGGGGTTGAGGGAAGGGGTAGGAGGGTAAGGGGGTAGGGGGTGAGGATAGGCGAAGCAAAGCCTGAACTGGGGTCGCCGGCGAATATCCAGGCCTTCGAGAACGTCACGTAGGCCTAAGGTGGCTGAATGCAGTAGTGGCCAGGCTCATGTGCTGGAGATTTGGATTGCTCTGAAGTTGGTGTCCGTTGAAGCGTCCCCTGTTGTCTCCTTCAATCTGCAGCACTGCCTCGAGATGGTAGGTGCAGCTGGCAGCAGCGGCACCTTGAATTTCTATGCTGCATGAGGGAACTTCGGAATACATAGGCCTTGTCTGTGAAAGTGTTGGCACTTGCAGCTCTCTGTATTGACGGCATGTCTCATATGAAGTCCCATCAGCTGACCGGGCCCTCATTTCAGGTCCAGGCCTTTGTCGCCCCGCTTCGGTCTGCGGCACCACCCAGCGCCGACCCAAATGGCCTCCCTCAGCGAGTGCCTGGGCACCCCAAAGTTTCAAAGACTGGGGCCCCCAATTGGTCCCTCCCCCCCCCAAGAATTGCAGGCAAGCATGGTCTCGTGCCACATGCAGGGGGAATGTTGAGTACTGTGGAGTATCTGCAGCTGGTACATGAACTTTGCCGACCCTTGCCTAGACCCAACAGAGTCCTTCATCCTTTTCCACACCTCGGCTGCCCTCCTACAACTGCTGCGACCCTGAACCCGAAGCCCAAACCCAAGACGTACGAGGCAGTTGTGTGGCGGCTCTTATTTACCCTGCTGGCCTCGACGGAGCCATCGCGACCGGAACTCTCGTTGGAAGCCTTCCTTGATGTGAGGGTTTAGGGTTTAGGGTTTAGGGTTTAGGGTTAGGGTTTAGGTTGTTTTTGTTTGGTATTGAGGGACCTCCTGTCTTGTCTCAATTCGGCGTTATCTCGGAATCGGCTCAGCGGTGGAGCTTAGGAGTGGCTCTCGCAGCATTGGGCCTGGATTGAAGCAGCCATTGCCTGCCAAAGCGAGTCTGCGTGTGAGGCGCACACACACACATGTCTCTTCAGGGCTTCAGTGCTATGTTTGGCGCACGCTTTCTGAGGCTGCGGTGACACTCCTGACGACGGTCTTGTCGCGGACACGGAATAGTGAAGCCTCTTCATCGGCTGCTTGGGCAAGCGAAGTCATCACACGTTAGATGCATCAAGTCAGCGATGAGGCACCCCAGGCCGGTCAGCTTGTCAACTCAACAATTGTAGTGCATAGGCTGAGGAAGAGACTCGGAGGAGCCTAGTCGCACAGGAAACTCACGACCTTGCCAAAACGATGTCTGTGCCCCGTGCACGGAGACTGTAAGTCGAAACCCAAGACGGTGTGCCGAAAATTGCACGGTTGTCGCATGTTAGGTCTTCCAACGGGTGCTTCCCGTTCTGGCGCGGTCTGCAACAGAGCGCGGCAGCGCTGCAGCTTTGCATGGTGTGGTGGTTGTGACCGCTTTGCCAGAAGTGTTGGGTTTTATTAGCTGTCGACATGTCTGCCTTTCTTGTATCTGAGCTTGTGGAGCAAGGTCTGGATGTCAAGGTTGTGAGAGATCATCGTAGGGGTTCAATGCCACCGGCACCCACACCGGCACCCGTTCATGGAGATCTTGCCCGCGAGGACCCGCATGTTTCGCGGCGGGACAACACGCGAAGCCGCCAACTTTGTCTCGCAGCACCTTCTAGTGCCTTGCCGCAAAGAGACTTGGTTGCTTGTTCTATACATATCTCAATTAGAAATCGCCAGAATGACAATGCTAGTATAGCTGGTCTGGTCGGCTTCACCACGACCTGATGTGAGAGCCAAGTCCTCAAGCCCTCAAGCCCTGAAGTTTTTTAGTACATGGATAGAGTTCCGTTCTTGGTTCCAGCATGAATCCATCAACCCGTAGACCAAGATGGGGGATGTCGACATGGGCGGTTCCCTAAGTTGAGGTGCAATTCTGCCTCAGAGGTTCTCCATAATTTCGAGCAGGCTGCCCTCTTCATGATAGAAGATGTGCGGCCTTAAGGAGTCTTCATGAGTTTTGGGTCCCAGAATGGAGAACCTGATCAGGCCATCGCAGGGCAGCTTCTCCCGAGCCTGGCGAAAGCGTTCCTTGGAGCTTTGATTCATATCACTCATATCACGATAGCTCCTTTGGAGCTTGAGGGAGCTCTTGTTTGCAAATTTTGTTTTGGAATCTCCGATATATATCGGAGATTTACGGTGGAAGGGGGGGGGGGGGTGGGGCCCCCCTTTGGTGTCCGCCACACGTTGTGCGACCTGAGGTGGGGAGGGAGTGTTTCCTGGCAGGAGGCAGGACAACCCAAGACCTATACTACATTGTCCTGCAGCTGTCTTCTTCAAGGCTCAACCTCTTAATTGAGCCCGAACTTCCCGATGCTTTGACTTGACTTGATCCAAGGCAGGATCTGCCTCAGGATCTCCTGGCAGCTTTGCTGGAGGTGCGAAGTCCAAGTTGCAGGGACAAGAACACAAACTCTTTCGTACCTGTGGTACCCATTGACTCGGGCTTCCGGATCCGGGATTTCCGGGAAGATTTGCTGGTTCTGGGTAACCAATTTGCAAGGCTTCTGGGCCGTCAAAACTGTTAGACCTTGCGTTTGCTGGTTAAGAGCGGAGTGGGGTGTGTCGCCTCGTGCAGATGACCGCACAATTGTGACGCAACTTCGCCTCCGAAGGCATTTACGGTTGCCATGGCGCCCCGGTGCAAGCTTCTTGCTGCCTGGCACAAGTTTTCAACACGCCCTTGTGGTCTCCTCCCCATCCCAACTCCTTGAGCGTGGCATCCAGCGTGGTGAAGCGTCGCATCCCAGGCCACCCAGTTGATGGCTTCGCCTGAGTTGCTTGCTGCGTTGCTGCAGCCTGTGCTCTGAGCTGCACAAGAGACTTTGTGGCGGAGCTTAGCCGAGTGGCTCGGGGTCTTTGGTGCTTCTGAGCTTATGCTGTAGCTTTGGGGCTTAGGGCTGTCACAGGGGTTCATGGAGTTCCATGGCCCAGCTGCAGAGGTCTGTGGACTCCTCTGCAACTGTGCAAGTCCTCGGCTAGCCTGCTGGAGCTTGCTGCATCTTTGCCGCCATGAGAGAGTCTGAGAGGATCCAAGAGAGTTTGATTCCTGAAGCTTGGACGAACCCGAGCCGAGCAACTTGGAAATGTCAACGGCCCTTAGGCAACAAGGAGAGCTTGCCCATTTGTCAATCACTGCTAACCGCTGCTAGCCGCTGGAGATTTTGAGAGAGTTTGGGGGCTCCATTGGGCTCAGCCAAGGCTCCTGGACCGTCTCCCCGAATGGCTGCAGCACGCAGAGACCGCTGCACACGCGAGGCGGCGATCTGCAGAGATGTTTCAGATCGCAAGCTTGCTCAAGCTTGCTCATGATGCCAGGAAGCTCCTGGAGATGTCCCTGCCCTGGGTATGCGAGGCCATCGCATCCTTGGGGATGTTCCTGATCTGCGCTCTTTGTTGAATCAACTTGGGGGAGGGGTTGCTGTCGTAAAGAGGCACCGTTCGCAGGCATCCCTATACGCCACCTGGCCTTGATCATGACGGCAAGACATCCTACGGAGTTGCATCGGACAGAGGGCATTTGATGGGCATGGATCCCTTTTGGGCGTCGTTGTTAGAAGGGCTTCCACTCTTAGGCAGGACTAAGGCTACAAGTATACCGGTAAGGGACCCCTCTTCAGAGCGACCCCATATGAATACACGGGGACATGGTGGAGCCCGCAGGCCTTCTTGAGCCTGCTCGCTTCAGCGCCAGTCGTCCGAGACACGGAGGCTGTTGTACAACGGACTGGCTCTTGGAAGCCAGGTTTTGAGGTATGATTCGGTATGACTCAGTGAGAATGAAAAACGTCTCGCCGAGCTTGTCTGAGTCGGGGGCTTTCTCTACTGAGCCTTCAAACAGGTTTCACAGACCCTGGCACAAGCGCTGATCACTGTGCATGCCGCACTGGGGCCACCCCTCTGCAGACTTGGACGGCAGTTTGTCTACCGGCTGTTTGCATCCGTGTGGATTTGTTGGGTGCTGCTGTATCTTCCAGGCCTGCTTGTGGCTGTTGCAGTCTTCAGTCCTTCTCGCAGCAAATCAAAGGTCATCGTTCACTGCTGCCATGGCGCGAGGCCTGAGCGCGTTGGGCCTCCAGGCACAACTCCAAAGCTGCTCTTTCGAAGAAGTCGATCATGATCAGCAGCTCCATGCGCCCTTGCCGTGAGGAGGAGGGCGGCCTCCTCTTGCAACAGCTCGCAGACGCAGGGCTCACCGAGGCACCGATCGGGAGAATACCCCGAGTTGAGTTCATAAGAAAGCCATATTATACCATATTATACCGGATTATACCATATTATACCATATTGTACCATATTGTACAATATTATTCCATATTATGCCGCATTATACCATATACCTCGACCACATGCACCAGGAGGCCCTGGCAGAAGCTTTGCGCGATGCCGCGGACGCGTGGCAGGCAGGCCTCTTCGGCGCATTGAAAACGAGAGATCAGGAAATTAGCTTGTGTTCCTGTGAGGCCGAGGAGCTTCGGAAAGTCGCCACATGAGCTGTGTCTCCTCTGCCTCGCAAGAAAAGAGCGACACACGTTGGGATCTTGCACCCATGGTGCACAAGGCGGCCCCAGGCTTTTGCACCGTAGCATCTTCGCCAGCAAGGTCGGCCAGCCGATTCACAATGACTTCACCTGGCAATGCGCAGGCGTGGTTCCCTCTCCTCCGATGCATGCGACTGCTGCAAAACTCATGCGACTGCTTCTGGATCTCCTTCAGCCCCAGCCACTACTCGGAGGCCAAACCTCTTTGCTTGGGCCTAGATTCGTCCGGCCCTTGATGCTCAGTTATGGTTTCGGGGTTTTTGGGTGTGGATACTGCGACTGGATGAGTTTTTTGGTCCACATCTACGACGTGGACAAGGATGATATTGTCGACCTTGACTTAACGGTTTCAGTCGCCGAGAAAGAGTTCCGACCTCTTGTAGCGGTTTGAGCTGTGCATGGTGAGTGGTCACTGATTTGGTCGTGCTGTAGTTTCCGATTCGGGTTTGGTTTCCGAAGTTTCCGATTCAGCCGCCTTGGTTTCCAATTGGTCTGACTTTGGTTTCCGAATGTTCCGGTGACCGCCAATCGCATGAAGCCATGAAGCCCGATGACCGTCAGACATTCGGTCTCGAGGTCTCCGGCAGAGTGCGCTGTGGAACGGGGCATCTGTAATTTCGAGGTGCTTTGGGGAAGTGCCTGGGATGCGTGTTGCGCCATTGGGCATTTGTAGCGTCATGGGTTTGCACTGCAGCTTGGCCTCACCTGAGCGACACTTGAGCGACTTAGGTTCGAGTTCGAGCAACCCCCGACACGATTTCAACCGAAAGCTTCCGGCGAGGGATGGGCCGGGTGCCAGGTGCAGCAATGGCTTCCGAGTCGTGTGATGGCTCTGGAGGCTTTCGACTGGACTTCAGCATCAGAGGAGAAGAGTGGATGTGGTCATGCGGGCAATGAAATTTTGTGCCCGAAAACTGGTAGTCTCGTGTCCGCTAGGCGCTGCGTGGATGCATGAAATCCCCTCATACCTGTCAAGTGCGTTTGGGCACGAGATCCTTGCGACATCTTGTGTGACAGGTTGAGACAGCTGCACTCCCTGAGAAGGGCACAAAGGCACTAGCGACCCGGGATCTTCGAGTTGTGTACCTGGTTGTAATTTACTCTGAAGAGTTCATGTTGTTGAGGACATTTCGTATAGCTGGTAGCACACGAGTGATGGGTTGGGAGAAGGCTTCCCGAAATCGACGGAGACTGAATCTACTGATTCTCGCGGCCTGAACGGTTTCTGCAGGTTTGGGCTTTTGCAGAGTTTCACTGCTTTGCTGTCATGGCTGCTGACAGCATCTCGTACATAATTCCATGTTCATGGAGACGTGCACAGCTGAATGAGCGACTGGCCTGGAAGGGCGGCGCGGTGCGGCCTGCGCACATCTCGAGCATTGCCGCGTTGCGCCCCTTCAGGTCGTGCCCAGACCTGTGGAGCGCAGCAGTTCTGTCAGAAGCAGCCGGAATTCTGAACCAATTCGTGCCCAGGGTCTCCCGAAACCACAGGATCTTCAACTTGACCAACACTTCGCAGTGGAAGGTGCTAGCAAATGAGGCCAGACAGTGGCTGCAGTGGGGCGAGAAGCATCTCAGGCGGCTTATGATGGAAGAGCATCTCGTCTATCACTATCATCCAGCCCACTGGTCCTCTGCACCCTTCTTCCGTGCGACGAGCTTTGTCAAGGCAGCACAGAGGGCTTCTCCACTACTGACTTCCGAACTCAAGCTGCGCACACTGCCCAGACATGAGCGCGATTGGTGGAGAGCACTGGAGCTTCAACTGCCCTCTGACATGGCGATGCAGATGCCCAGGCGAAGCACCTTGCGCAACGATGCCTCGCCGACCTCACCAACCTCACCTTGCACACTCGATAGGGCTTTGTCAGATTTGCTAGAGGTCGAAGACCTCAGGTTTCAGGCCAGTCCTACTTGGGATGACGCCGCAGGCTTGCGGATCCGTTGGTTGCTGCATTCTGCGCAGTCGAGCTTGGCTTGCATAAAAGGTGATGAGGGCATTGCTGGGTCCCCGAGGCTACTGCACCACTTCATGTTCAGAGGTTCCCACCTTTTCTTCTCGCTGCTGGACCGTCTAGACTGCCGAATCTGGGCTGCGTTAAACACGCAGCAGAGACCCAGTCCGTTTTGGATGCGCCTTTTGCCCTCGCCGTTCACGGAGGCGAATTCTGTGAGAGGCCGCAGGAAGTTCCACTGTGACAGCGAATTTCAAGATCTTCTCAAGGAGCTTAGGGCCTCGGAACTCGCCTCGGCCTCGGGCTCCAGATTCCGCTTTGTGGAGGTCGGGGCTTCCTTGGGTGGCTGCACTTTCCACGTCTTGACATCGGTCCCGTCTGCTGTGGCAGTGGCGGTGGAGCCTTTCCAGCCTACGGCAGAGGCCATGAAGCAGACGGCTGCATGGAACGGCCTTGCCGAACGCCTCACTGTCCAACAAACCTTTGTATCAGAGCGAGAGGGTGCATGCAGAATATCATCGCTGCAAAACATCTACGAGACCAGGTCTCCGCATTGGGATTTTGGCCAAGAAGATTCCAGTGATGGCACAGCCACGAACTGTGCATCTGCGACTTTGGAACAGATCCTCACGTCGGCTTGGGGAGACTTCGGCACCTTGGACGTGCTCCGCGTGCATGTGGATGGCTGGGAGGAGACGGTTCTCAAGTCCCTCGGTGATCGTTTGCGGCCGCCCTGGGTCAGGGCCGTGGCTCTGGCGATGTGGCGGTCTCGGGAACCTCGGGCCGGGCACGTTTACGACCCGGTTGCCATCGCCGACCTCCTCCGATCACGCGGCTACGACTTGCTCTTGACACCAACCCTCGAAAAGGGACCATTGCGAAATGAGGATGTTGTCCTGGCCCTTCGGCGCGGTGTACAAGCTGCGGGCATCATGACTCTCATAGCTACCGGGCCAGCATTGCAAGTACCGGAACGAAACAAGCTCCCAGGCATTGGATCATTGCAGGTGAAAGCTCAGATGTCGTAATCGTTGATCATCACTTCACGTGCTTCAGCCTCCAATCATCATGGCGTCTTGTCCTGAAATGCCGAGCGACTTAGGACCCGGACGGACCAACGCATGGCATATCAGCATTTTGTTGCCAGCGTCTCTGGTGCAGCGGGCATGCTCTGTTGCTCCTTGCAGATAAGGTAAAGGGCATCCGAACTAATGATAACTAATCTTCTGGAAAAAAACGCTCTACCGCCCTTGGCACCTGAGACGAGGAAGCTACAAGAAGTTTAAGACTGCTCACGGCCGCATGAGGAGGGGGCTTAGAACTACGGCGCCCTTCTCGTACAGTCTCGACGACGTCTCGGGCTTGCTGTTTTTTATAGGCAATGTCAACGTCACGAGACAAACTTGGAGGCGTCGACGCGAACTGTGGGCAGAAAGTGCTCCCAAATCGGCATCACTAAGCACGGGCTTGCTTTCAGAATCGGGCTTCACGGGCGATTGGGTGCCGATTTCCTGCACCCTAATCAAACCTAAATCCTCAAAGGCAGCCCAAGCGACAAGCCGTTAGCAAGCCGACGAAGGCTCCTGCAAGTAGAGGGCTGCACCGCTGACTACCCAATTTGTAAATCGTGTACCAATCGGCTGACTCTATTAGGCAGTTGCCATACCCATGAGATAGGTTCCGAGCAGGACGGGCTTGCTCCAGGTTTGCTGAAGGGAAGCAAAGAACAGCCTCCTTGCCCAGACTGTCCTGTCGATCATCATCGAGCTCCCTGCAAACAGCCGCTCAGTGATCATGATGGCCCTGACCTCGGATAAGCACCGTTAGGGATGCATTGTTGGAGCTCACTGGGATATCACGACAGTTGCCTGTTGTCGTTTACCAATCAATATGTATATCGTCCGAGTTAGAGGTTGCACGCAAGTGGGTTGCACAGAAAAGAAGGAGGCAGTAGGGAGGCCCTGGCCAAGATATGAAGTAGCCATTGACAAATTGGTATTGTGAGGTTGATTGCATGTCCCCTAGACGGTTTTGAAGTAAGGACCCTGGGGCTGTAATTACGGGGTATATATGAGGGGCATTGTCACCCAAGCCACGGGGACGCGCACGTCGGCGTTCCAATCCTACACTTCGGATCGTGTTTCCAGTCCGTATGGTCGGGCTGCAGATACGGCAAGCGACCGTGGGTCGAAGAAAGCGACGCCGAGCAGTTGGACCGACACTCGAAACCGTGAATCCGCAGCGCAAGTCGTAAGTGAGCTTGGGGCACCTTAGGCATGTTGGAGGACCCCCGAAGGCCTGTCTGATCCTGCTTGCCTTTCGCAGCAGTAACAACGTGTCAGCGGGCGGTCCTTCGGTGCGGTTGTCATGTGCTCTGTGCTTTTAGCACAGCAAACACGGCGGCATTAACAGGGGAGAGTGGGTCGGCTGATCGACCAGGTAGGGTGGTGTGCCTGGCGAGGGTTGAGGTGGAGGGAGGAGACCAGAGATGTCGATGTGTAAAGCTGGCGTCCGCAAGGCGTACTGAACATCAGAAGTTTCTACTGCTTGTGGAACGGATGGGCATCCTGCATTACCTCCGCTGAAGTGCCATGACTCCCCTCTACACCTACCATGATGCTGACCTCTCAGTTCCACACGCTCCAGAATTACGTCGGGCATAAAGCCGATTCAAAGGCCGGCGGCAGCTCTGCCTCCTGGATGGCACAATAGTGTGCAGACTGTAAGCAGACTGTGTATGCAGTGCATTGTGAAGGCATATGTGTTGGCGTGTCTTTTGGAAGTCGGTGACGTAGAAAAGTTCGGTTCAAGTTCTTGCCAGGGTCGCACTGGCTTCAAGTGTGCTATGGCCGCTAGGTGATGATAGTCCATGTTATATCATGTTTCAGACCGTCATCGAGACCTCACATGCCCCCGAGCAGCATGCCCCCTGACGTTGCTCTCCCATCGAAGCCAAAACTCCCCCAACTAAGAGGACGAATGCATCTGCACGCAACGCTTCACTAGGATGCGGGCCAAAGTTGCAGTTCACATATTTCACTTTTTGCTTCCATGACCTGGTGTTGTTAAAGTTCCCAAGATTCATGCGATGCTCCGCGAATTTCCTTGGTTGAACTGCGCTGACCCAGGCACCTGCAAAGTTTAGCTTCTTGGTTTGCCCGCCGGAGACAGCGAAGGAGCTTAATGAATCTGAGCCTCGGCATGGTTTCAGGGGGGGCAAAGATGGGGCTGTGCTGGAAAATGTCGCATCCTTCAGAATCTTCCTGAGTTGCATGAAGTGCTTGACCCTGCCAGGTGAACCTTTGGTCGAAGGCCGCTTCGGTTGGTCCTGTGTGATGTGCATGGAAGCTCAAGGAGCTACGCAACAAAGAATACACAAAAAGTAAGCAAATACACACACACATACACACTTACACCTACACCTGCACTTGCACGTTTGCACTTCTGCATCCACCTAATTAAGCCTGAACCTCTTAGTCTTCGTCACTGGCTTGCGTCAGCCAGGCTGCTCGTCGCTAGCATGGCCATCCACAAGCATCAATACTAGAGTCACTAGAGGATGCTACAGCGAATGCGAAACAGTGCGCACTTCTCAGGACTACGAACATATCACTGATATTGCAGGTACATTCACAGTGGACTTCCCCCTCGCTCACTAGACTTAACTTCGTTGGGGAGTTTCGAACTTTCGAACTGCCTCGTCTAAACCAGCCCTGCCCCGCTGCGGATGATTAGGATGCTTGATGGCTCAACATGTACGAATGTTCTGCCTCATTTGCCTCGCTGGTTCCTTGTTGGGGGGAGCATCCCAGAGTTGCTTGTTCTCGAGATTGGGGTAGGTCATCAACCTCTACGACTGTGCCGTCGGGGTCTCATTGCGCTGCGCCGAGGCACATGGGGACAAAAGCTCTGACACCGAACCATCCATGTTGGCCCCTGACTCCTTCCTTGCGAACAAAGTCCTCTTCCCCTGGCCCTTGCAGTATGCAGGCGCGAGGAGAGGAGCCGGTGGCAGCAACGGAGGCTTCAGAGAGGCTGGATGGACTTGGGTGGCAAGAGAGGGCTATGAGGCTCTCAAGGATCCTACTGCACGTCTCGGCTGAATGTGGCGTTGAGGGAAGGTTAGGACACGTCTGCGCTGCGTTGTGGCAAAAAAGCAGGTTTCTCCGCGCGCTGCTCCCGCACAGCATGTGGATCATCCTGGCGCCCTGCTCCCAAGGGCATCGGAGAATGTAGAATCACTGGGATGCTCGTTGCATTCATGTTGCCAATCGCCAAGCCTCTCCAGCTTCACTCTTTCCGGCATGGTTGAGTGGCCGAGGGGCCATGGCGACGAAAGCTTGCAAGCAGCGAGGTGGGACTGTAAGCTAAACTAAAGGTCCAGGGAAAGAGGTCAGGCGTCGGACGTGCAGTGGGCTGCTGGCTTCAATCTTAGGACAGGCGTTAAACTGTTTGCCCCATTCATCGACACAACTTCATAAAGACACACAAGTGTTCTCACGTGAGACGCGAACGGCAAGAATGATCGCCGGGCACGCTTTGCCGCGCATCTAGGAGCACGATGCCGGAAGTGAAAGCTTTCTTCTTGTTCTCGTATCCTAATCTGGTTCTGTATCTTTACAAAGGAGGACCAGAAATAGAAATCAAGGATCCATTGAAGCATCACTTCTCAATATAGCAAGCACAGGTCGCTTCGAGCATACCACTCAAGCTTGTGAGCAACTTCATGGGGTATTGCTGCAGAAGGTCCTCTATACACTCCACATTGTTTCCTTGAAACAGACGTAGGGCACATCGGGAGACATCAGTGATGCGCTGTCGCTGCAGGACGCTGGCCTCGAAGAACGAAATAGGCCGAAAGCCTCCAGCAGTTAGGGCAACTTTGGGCAACTTTGGCCTGACTGGCTGGCTGATGACAGTGCTCGCAGGTCCTTTGCTTGAAACTTCCTTGGAACAGAACAATGCACAGCCAGAAATGCCGTCAGCAGTTGAAATCCCACAGGCGGAGCCTTGCCACGGCTGCAGTGATATTATCATGGGGCGGTTGGTTGCTCACGGGCATGTTGCCTCCTCAGAACTGCATTTCTGAACCCACTGGGTACATTGGCGGGAGGCCTCGGCATCGTTCTGCAGCCGGAAGAATATGAGATCCAGAGTGGCAACAGGCCAGGCCACAAGATGGTCTGTAGTTGCTTGAACCTTGCAGACTCGCCGGCAATACATGCGCAGAAGCACAGGACTACAATCAGAAACCGCTCATATTGCCCACCAAAATTTAATATAATTTAGTATACGTTAATATAAAAAAATATAATCCTGGGCAGGTTGACAGGACTGCAGGGGACCTGCGCCAACCAAATGATCAAGCAGACGGAGTTCAAAGCTCTTTGGCGTGATTTTTGTTCGGAGCGTCGTTGCTGTGTTTGGCGTCGCCGGCGTAGCTTCTAGGACGCATGGATGCAACAAAAACAGAGAGTGCGGCAGCGTGTGGCACGAGGCCTGCACCATGGAATTTGGCAAGGAGCTGGAGGCCCTGGTGACCTGGTGCCCAGGAAAAGCTGAAAGGGTTATAAGAAGCTATGACTATATAATCAGTGTTGATCACAAGCTTGCAAGAAATGTGTCATTGTTGGGGGTGAAGTGCGCTAAGCTTTGCCGATTTTTAAGCTGGAGTTGCGACATCAAATTAGTTTTCAAAGTCAGGAGGCTATACAGCTCATAGCGAGATCGGGGAGCCTGGGCTTCAGGCGCCAGTCATCACTGCCGCGGCAATCACCTGGTTGGCCAGGCCTGAGTGTGCGCAAACCGGGTGGCTTACAGGCTTACAGCAACGCTCCCTTCGATGATCTTCGATGTCCTCTTGTGGATATAAGCAATCCGATGAGGGAAGCAACACAGGACAGTCGTACTAGTAGCAAGTCGTTCGCTCTAGAGTGTTCCTTGCGTTCCCGGATCACATCACATGCAATCATCAGCCTCTCTGAGTTTCTGTGATGCAGTCACTGCCGAAAGGACCGCTGCTCACAGACAGATTCACAGACCTCCTCAGAAATTCTTCCTCACCAACCCTCCTGCCTTAAATTACCATGCTTCACGCCGCTACACGGTTCACACGAGCAGCAAGAATGTCCCACTTCACGCTGCTGCCAGAAGCATCTGTGGGGTCGTGCTACTTGTTTTGGTCGCTTCACGCCACACTCTTCGGCGATTCACGCTATTCAACCCCCCACTGCCACAACCTGTTCTCAACATCCTGTCACACTTGCGATCGTGGCACAGTCGATCTAGGAGGTGTCTTGCTTTGAGGATGTTGGCGGCAGCGGGTGCCTAATATATAGCAGCTCCAGACGACGTAGTTTCCCAAGTCCCGCTGCGTGCTCAGAGGGTTTTTTTGGCTCCCTACCCGGATAAGACTTAACAAGTCACACCCCTTCCATCCCCGAAGCCAGTTCCAGAGCTGGCCGGCACTGGGCGCCGCTCGTCCTCCGCTGCGCCCTGCTCAGCTCGGTTTTAAATGGTGAGAGTTCGTTGTCTGAGGAATGCGTTGGAAGTGTGAAAGATTGTTGTGTGGTTGTGTGCCTGGCGCTCCAGAGTAGCGAGCGACGTCGTTCGTGTCGCATGTCACATGCTCTGCAACTCGTTGCACCGTTTGCTTTTGCACCCCAGCACTGCGCTTTCCATGTGATGAGGGCGTTGACAGAATAGCTCTTGGCTAGGTGCTACGTGGAGTCGTGAAGCCACCGAAGGAACACCCACGGAGGAGGACACTGTACTGGAACAAGAGTGGCATTAGGCAGCTCAGTTGGCCAGTGCGACCACCAAGACGACCACCAAGACAACAGTTTGTCAAGTTGGTTTTATATGTTGAATTCCATGCTGCTTATACCGACTTGGTTCGAGCGCCAACAGCTGTCGCACTGCAGTCTTATATCTACGGCCTGGATTTGCACTTGTACGTAGGTGTAGTGTAGGGTTTCTGAGCGCTTAATCTGCTGGTTTAAAGATCGTCGGCAGCTTCAGTTCCACAACCCTGTTTAGCACCGTCTTGTTGCTAGGAAAGCCTGACGCAAGGCAAAGGTAACTACTGCAGAAGCATATGAAATGATGACAGTTGAACGTGTGGGAGACCTCCAGTTTGCTTCCCGACCCCTAAAGTAGAATGCTGTGGGGCCCGTGTTTTGGGCTTGTTTGTGCGAGAAACTTCGATGGAGCTTTTGGCACAACGCTGCGTTTTGGTCTGGGAAGTCTATCTTACAAGTAGCACGTATGGGGGCTGCAGGAAGACAGTGCTTTGTGTTCGGGTGGGGGTTGAAGTATGCAGGTCTTGGGTTCTTCCAGTCTGTAGCCAAGAGGCTTCTGTGAAGGTAAGGGTTGCGAAAATGCCACTTCCCGCACCGCGTAGCCTTCAACTGCAAGTTTGCCCGAAAGCTTCACTCTCACTCGCTGTCCCTGGCTGGCGGCCGTGCTTCGCCCCGACCCCCACCCCGCAGTGGCTCTGGGCATGGATAGCCCTCGTGCAAAAAATGAGCCGCACCTTTTCCACCTTTCCTAGGATTCCTGGCCCCCGGATGCATCTGGGTTGTCCAGCGATGGTTTTCGGGCTGAGGGGGCCAGTGCTCCAATAGTTGCATGTCGATGAAGTTATAAGTGTGAGGTCCATTGAAGCAACCCGAATGCTCAACCCTAAGCCTTTAACCTCAATACAACCGCCCGTACAACTTTGGGGCGGAGCAGTGCAACACTACATCAAGATTTTGCACAATATATGCATGCGCTTGGAAGGAGCCGGATGAGACTCTGATGCCTGGGTCTTGGTAACTGGCTTCGAGATTGGAGCTCCACGTTTGCAGCAAATTCAATTGCTGCAACTTGCCAGGGCCCATTCCTTCAAGTACCCTGTCGGTCGTGATGATCCCTTGTCTTGGTAAGGAGTGGACACTATTTTATGTCGGCGTTCGGCATTAGGTGAGGAAGGCGTTGGAGTTTCAATGTCATGCCGATGCTTCAGGCACTTGGACTCCTTTGCGCCAGTCTCCCCTCCCAAGTCAAAGAGCGCGAACTGCCAAGGCACCTCGCACAGCTTCTCCAGGACCTTCTGTCACCCTCAATGGTCACCAGATGTGGGCAGGGCCAAGCTTGTAAACACAGAAGGCCAGGGCCCCCCCCCCCCACCCCCCTGGTGAATGCACCGAAGGTCTTCCGGTAGTCATTCTGGCGTTCTCGGAACATTTCTCCATTCATCTTTGCTCCTGACACGAGTCTCCTGCCCCCCAGAGAGTCCTGCAGAGTTGCCCCCGAGGAGCCGGATGAAGCTGAGATTGTGAGCCGCAACGCTATCCAGGCGAGTCAGAGTCTCATGGAGGAATCTTCTGGAATCTTCTTGGATACTCATGTTAACCTGGGAATCGGAAGCCCTCAGGGCCTGCGACAGGTGATCCAGCGAATTTACCTCCGAGAAGACCTTGACATCTCGGCCAGCGTTGAAGACACTACGACGTACGAGGCCAGGAGTTTGCTTGCTGGTGGGGCCGAATGGCAATTCGCCCATGCTGCATAACAACAACAACCCTGCCAGGAGTTTCTGACACTTCGACAGAAGTTGCCGCCTGGCGGGCTGAGCGTCTTCATGGACAAGGCAGCCCTTTTCACTCATGATTCTTCTGTGCATGTGTGCACTCAGTACTATGCAATAGCTCCTCGTATATTCAGCCGCGCCACTGCCTTTATTCACGTGTAAAATAGGAAACATTCAATCGCAGGTGTGTGGCTCATGCCAGTTGAGGGATAGTCCCAGCGATTGCTCTGCAACTCTACCAAGTCATTTGATCTGAAAGTCTCCAGCGTTCTCCCGCTGCAGTACTGCCCTCATGTCTCTAGAAGAGAAAAAGAGGATGCACGAGCTTGCTCGCAAAGCCAGAAGACCATGCGAACTTGACGGCATTGATGAGCCTCGCATATGGCTTGAGCCTTGGATCTTGGCGAGTGGCGACGCTTCTTGGCAGAGGCGGATACTCGATGCACTGATGGTTTCCGGGGAATTTCAGGGCTCTCGTTGAGAAAGTTCGGGGCAGCTTCGAAGCAGTTTCTCAAGAAACATAGCCTCAGCATTCATCTGGGTGCAGTGAGACTCTTAGGCCGAACTCAAAGAGTACCCTCACCTCGCCGAGAATGACCTGGTCATGGCGCTTTGTGCCAATTGTGGCATTGCTGTGCGTGGCAGGCAGGGGCCGTCATGCAGTGGTGCTGTAGATCTGAGCTCGCAAATTCCACAAGAGGCTTTAGGCTGGAGACGGCCTCCTTCTGCAGACTAAGTCGGGCCCGTAAGCCAGTGCTGGCCCAGAACCTATCAAGGAAGAATCGAAGCTTCTTCCTCCTGCCCTTAAGTCCGGGAAAGCCTCTGGCCGAGGTCGCGAGAGCTGCCCAAGATAAGACCCAACACCACTTTGCCCGCAAGGACGGCTGCAAGCAAAATGTCCAAACTCAGAGAATCATTTCGGAATCACAAGCCCAGGAACTCAGGAAGCCCAAGAAATGTGGCAAACGCGGGCCCCAAGCTCTTGGTGCAAATGCGTGAAAGTTCCAGAGTTGGAGAGGTAGGTGCGCTGCTTGCACTCACTCCAATTGTCGTAGCCGACTCAACTGCACTTGGGAACCGTATGGAGTCGTGCATTGCCCGTGTTGCTCCAGAGCGTGCTCTTTGTAAGGAAAAGGAGGGAAGAGTTAAGGAAACCTAAGGGATAGCCGAGAGATGGAGCGAATGCTGTGCAGCAGGCCTCGGCGTTCTTGTGCACATGCGGCCGATGCTGCCAGTGGCCGACACGATTCAAGGCGCAGAAGGGTGAACTCTTGACGCTTAGCTCAGCAGGTCTGCAAAGGGGTCAGAATTGGAGAGCATTTCGCAGCTGGTTCTACAGGGAGCAAAAAGCCCATCCACAGACATCAGGCTGTGCTGTGTTTATGTCCATGCTGTCCCATTCCTGAGACTCGTGACAAGGGTTCTCGGAGGTGCGCAAACCGCGGATGCCACAGCTTTACGGGAGGCCGGCTCAAGGAGATTTGACCTCACATGATACAGTAGAGTGCATTAGAGTGCAGGGCGTTTCCTGATCGATGCACTCTTGTGCATTCGCGACTCTGACCACTTCCGCCTGTCACGGTTCCCCTGAGCCTACGATTTCGCTGTCGGTTGTTTGAAAGGCATATAGCAGGAGAGTCTGAAGCGGAGAAGCTCTGAAAATGCCGTGAGGTTAATACACTTCGTGATGCTGTGTTTCGAGGTTCCTGGGTTTGCAACTTAAGCTTCGTGCTCCCAGGACAAACTCAGCGAACTCTAGCTTCGAACAGCCTGTGAGACCACAGCTCAGGACAGGACGATGTTCTCAAGGCGAGGGCCAGCTACACTGACTACACCTGACTGCACGTGTCTACACGCATAATCTTCATCTTAGACATCTGTTTGCCAGCTAGCTCCGCTGTTGTCGTTTCAATGCTATGCGCATGGCGCGTGATGACTTCGCCTGCGGAGGCTGTAGATATGTTGAGGCAAGAACTGGCTCTTCTTCGACAGTCCAGGCACACAACTGCCATTAAAGCATCAGCTTGTGGAGTTTGCTGAGACTGCGTCGCCTTGCCTACTTGCAAGTAGGGACCAGCAGAGAACGCCCAACAATTCTCAAGAAGCTTAGGCCGCAGGTCCGGTTCTGAATCCACACCGACTGTTGTTCTCGTCCTGTCCATGCATTTCCGGGTCACCTAGCTTGCAAGCCCTCAACCATCAACCCCAAATCCACGGTGACTTCTGGAAGGTCTGGCAGTGGTGCTCCAGCCTCTGGTACACTCATCACTGGATCGTCACCCACCGCTGCCGCGCCAAATGGCCAAAGGTAGGGCACCGGGTGTCCATTGTTGGCTGAGGGTATGTCGGGTATGTGTTTGTCAGGACGTGAAAGGTCTTCGTGGGAGCTCTGAGTCTGCTCGATTAGTTGGGTCAACGATTTGCTGACCTCAGTCTTTCCGACATACCAACCAGCATTCTATATGAAATTGTTGCGACTTCATGTTTCATGCACACGAGGGGTTAGGACGACAGCACTGACACAGCGCGTGGCAGGATGGCTACGCCATCAGCTCTTGAGTCACGTCCTTCCATGCTCAAAAGGCCCCTAGTGATCAACAGGCACCGCTGTTTGCAGCATGGCCACCAGGACCTTGAAGCCGAAGTCGCCCAAGCGGGAAGGTAAACCAAAACAGCCTCCCCGCCGTCTCCCAAACCTCGTACCCATTCCTCAGAAAGCTCTTTATGTCAGTGTCTCGATGGCGGTGGCTTTAGCACCTGCGCCCGCCGAAGCAGCACCACTGCGGAACCCACGTGTCGAGCCACCGAGACGCAGTAAGAAACAGGTGAGGGACTTCACATCCTGTGATCAGTACACTCAGTAGACAAGAAGAGCCTCTGCATCAGTGCCCACGACCCAGGTTTGCATCTTCTCCCGCAGCCGCCGCATCTGCAGCTGCCAGATGTGAACAAATGTGAACAGTCGAGCCGTTTAGACCAGCTTTTTCTAGATTGTAGACCAACCGGCCCATGACGATCCTAGATGGAGGAGTTGAGGACTGTTGGGGACTTCAGGAGTCGAAGAGCTGAAGCGATGTCCCCGACTCTTCTACCTTCCTACTTGCAAAGCCTCAACAGGTCGGGCAATGCCAGAAGCCACCCAAGCTATCCTAAGTCCCGTGTGATTTGTGCGCTGAGCCCCAGCCACGGCGCATTCGGCATGAAAGCGAAAGCTCCTTGGATTCCTGCCCAAGTGCAGCAGAAAATCTTCCCAGCCAAGCTCCATCCTGTAGGACCGATAAGATCTTGGCTTTAACAAAGGATTGAGGCTACCAAAGTTACCTGCTGAGCTAAGGACCCGCACGGGTTGAGTTGGGACAGCAACGTGCTGAAGAAGACAGCCGCTCGCCATGTCAAGAGTTGATTGCCTGGAAGTGTTAATTGAGAACCAGGAGATGCCTTGACACGAGAAGTGCAGCTGTTTTGCTTCTGGTATTATCAATCTCCCCCTCACCTTGCTTCAGGTCAGTATGGCAGAAAGCCAGTATTGGTACCAGCGAAGGGAGAAGAATGTGAGACTCAGCACAAAGATGTCTATGGGAAATTTTGGGTTAGGCTTGGCGATCGAAATTGACTTACTCCAAAAGCGTTATGTTTGACTCTGTTTCTATCCATCTGTTGAAGGCTTCTCTCGGATGTCTGGGTCGTTTCGTGATCGCATCTGCGCCAGAATGGTGGGATGTGTAGGCTACTTCGGGGTCGCATACAATTTTGATGGATTTTAAAGGAAAATGGATGCTATCGCGTGTTCTAAGGACTGTGTTGTCGAGTTTTGAGTCTTTTTCATCCAATATTAGCAGGTTTCTTTGTTTGAATGGAAGGATGTCTAGGTTATTTTCGTGATCGAATAGAATTCTTTGATTCGGGGTCCGAACTGGATCGAAATTCATAAGTTTCAACAAGCGTTAATTTTGACTCTTTTTTGTCATCTTTTTGGAAGCATCCTCTGTTGGGCACATGGTACAGAATGAGACCACAAAAAATGTGTGTGTGCTGTACACAATTATGGGGACACGCTGTGTAGTGAATTTGTGACCTGGACGCAAAACTGAAGCTAGCGCAGCAGTTTCGATTGCTCGCTAGGCAAGGTTCAGGAAAGCTTGATTTTCTGAAGCGCGAAGCTACAAGATGCTACTTGTTCTTAAGCTACAGGGCTTCAACAATGTCCGAACTGCTTTTGCGAACCAACGCTGGTTGCCCCTTCGCAGTAAATGGCAACTAGGCTGGCAGGGGCTCAAGAAGCTGAGCAACAAGAGCGCCCCGATGCATTCCGATTCCGCATCCAGTACGACAAGAAATTCCCAAATTCAACCTCGCCAACAAATACAACCAAAGGCGATTCTGGTTTATTGTTGGGGTGGGAGGCAGGCAAGCATGTCGCATGCACTGACCCAAGTGGATGCAAAATTTAAGCATGCGTTGCTAGCATTGAGCCGACAATGTCGTTTCCGAGAACGGTGGAAAAGCGGAAATGCCCCCCTCCCATAGGCTTTAGGCTTGACGAGACAGCAACCCGACGTCGTGTTGCTAAAGTCTGGCGCCCATCACATCAAGACTCGGGTTGTGACATCATTGCTGGTTTCATCCGCGCTGAACCGAGGAGGCCAAATGGGGCGTTCACCCACTACATGGCCAACTGGCCCTGCCTGTGGGGCGAGGACTGCGTCAAAAAAACCCAAGAAGCCATCGCGAAGACCGAAAGACCAGACGCAGCTCCACGGAGCTGCGCGTGTGCGTGGCGCTGCCCTCACTAAAAACCAAAACCTTCAAAACCGAAATCCTCAGTCAAAGTGTGCAGGAGTACATCGGCGTCGGTTCCGGTGACGGCAACAAGTGGCTCGAAAGTGTTGAAGGGCATCATCGCACATCATTGGACGTCGCATGTTGGAGCTTCGCCGTTCGTCTCTGTGGCTTTGCCCGCATCTTGGAACCTCCAAATTGTCATTCTCGGTCCAGGTGGTTGTGCGGCGCCCGCATCATGCGAAAGCCCTGCACTGTGTACTCCTTCGGCTCCAACCGGAACATCCAGCGCCTGGGGCTGTAAGAACCGCTTCGGAAGTCATCCTTCATTATTTCGACTTATCATCCGGGGTCCAGCAGCTGTGGTGGACTTCCTGTTCATTTGTGGGTCCCCCCAGCATGGGTTGTTTGTGGCTTGGAACAGAGGTTGGGTCTCAAGGGCATCGATATGAAGACAATGAAACTCATCAGGAAGCAGGATTTCATCTCCAGAGCACCAGTCGCCTATAATCTAGGCATGACTCGCATCCTTAATGTCGGTTTCAGGAGTTCTCTGGCGCGGTTAATTCATGCGATGCTTCAAAGCTTTCTTTCAGAGGTTCAGGCCAGGATGGCCCCCATGTGGCCCCAAGATGCCTCAAGCCGAGGTTCGAGAAAGGCATCCACAACTTGGGTCTGAACTGCGAAGTTCACATCTACGACCCAACTTCTGCTGCGCCGCCGGAAGCAGTACAGCTAGGCTGTCTGCGAAGCCCCCTTCGCAGCCTTTAAAGGATTCAGACCGGTGCAGGTGGTGATTCGAAGGTGTAGCATGTGTAGTTGAGTCCTGAGTCATCAACATGCAGCCGAAAGGCGTACAGAGCCTTGCCTGTCGGCGGCGTAGCGGGGGGGTGGCTTCGGTTGCTGAGACAGTGCGGCGAGGCGTGAGCCACATGAAGTCACCCACCGAGCCGTGCAGGCTTTAAGTACCATCGCGTTGGCCTCGGGGGCAGCGATGGTTGGCAGCCGCTTAGAAGCAAAGTTCCGCCACAGCTAATTCGTTTCTTTCAGGACCTATCAGTCCAGGCCACTCTGGCCTTGGACTTCATGCTGTGCCCGAAAAAGTTAGAGGTAGTCGAGCCTAGAAGGCTCATCCCAGCTTCCGGATCCCTACTCCTCCGCCATGCTAAGGAATGGGCTCCCGGTCAAAACCCTCAGCACGCTGATGCTGCTCGCATTGAACTCTTATCGGATCTGGCGCCCTTGGGGTTTCATATGCGGGGAGGATACTTGTGAACGGCCCGGATGCTGGCTCATCAGGGTGCTTCTTACAAACTACAGGGAGTCGTTGGGAGACTCGAGCCAAAGAGTTCCGCACTGGACATCACTGGACACTGGACTACTCAAATCTCTCCTTTGTGAATCTTGCTGAGCTTAGGAAGGAGAATGGGCACACCCATCTGGACGTCCTCAAGGCTTGAAGCCAACACTGTGGATTCTGCCTGGCATGCGTTGTTAACAGATGTTAACAGGTGAGGATTTGATTCAAGAAAAGTCAGACTAGTTGATTTGGTGTGATCAGGGAGCTTGTTTCGGCCGAGCTCGGCCCGGCCAGGTGGATATCGAGCGTGCGGAGCATTCAGCGGTCGCGCAAATCGCAAGCTCGGCTGATTAAGGATGTTTGTTGGAGTCAGGTTGTCCTTGTCGGGGCTAGGATTTGCTATAGTTCTTTCGGCGTAGACCGCAGACAGTGTAAGAGCAGATTGCTAAGAGCAATGGAGCACACCGAAAGCACACCTTAAGAGCACTCCAAGGGCACAAAGGCAACGACCGTTCTGCAGATGCAGGTGTGTCTGGGGAGAGGAGCTAGAATTCTCGGTTCTTTTTTGCAACACGGAATAGCTTGCAGACTTGCTGCTTGATGAAGAACCTGTTCTCCTGCTAAAAACTTTTCTCTAAGCTCATCTCGGCTACTCCTCCGATCTCCTCTCTGATTTCAGCAGGCAGGTGCTGGCTGGCCGTCTGTGGGTCAGTTCTTGGTCGAGGCCCTGCGAAAGCACGAAGTCTTCCACCGCACGCCGCGCAATGCCGCGCAGAGACGCCAAAAGCATGCACTTCGGACGCTGCTTTCTACGTTCTACTACAGAAGGGCTTGGTTAAAGTTTGGGCGCGCGCGATCCTGAGCATTCACGTAGCGCAGGTTCACATCGACAGCGATGTTCCTGGCGCGCCGCAGGAACCTCAAAGTTTTCTGAGCCAATGCAGGAATTGCTCTGCACTGCTATGACGGAGCATCTGCGATATTGGGAGTTGCTCTAGTAGCCAATGGAGTTGTGCAGCAGTGCTGTAGTCATCGTCGTGCAGTGACGTTGCAACAGTTGTTGCGTGTCGCCACACCCAGTCATTATCAGTCCTTTCATCAACTGGGTAAGAACCCAGCTGCTTGCAAGCTTTCAGGTCCCCCATGGGCTCTACGGGACTGGGTTCCCGATCGCTCGACGAATTCTTCGGCAGGGCAGCGTGACTGAACGTGGGCCAACGTGGGCTTGGGCGATGGGTCAATGATGGGCGAATGGCTTCCATGTCAGCAAGGTTGAAGCAGTTGTGGAGTTCTCGCGTTCAGCTCAATCAGGTCTGACCATGCAGATAACTATGCAATCTCAACACGCACCCGAAGATATGACATGAGATAATGCTGCAGCCTGCGCATACAGATGAAGTTTGAGTTACCGCAATCTTCCCAGATCGAGAGAGCAAACTTGCGGCTCTTCCATCAGGACCGCCTTGATCGAATGATGGGGAACCAAGTTGTGCTGGTTTGTAGTTGTTTTGCGCTGAACAAGAGGCTCCGCAGTTAGAAACCTGTGGACTTACCTGTGTGGCCGGAGCATAATCTGGTATAGGGGGTTTGGGGTTTGTTTTCAAATGGAAGCATCGGCTTTTCCGGCGCCTCGGCTGCGCAATTATGGAGGGCTTTCTGCGAATTGGAACCAATGAGCAATTGCAGGGGGAGTTTATAAATTTGAGGTCAACCCTTGGGCAGCGGCACATCATCACCTTGAAGTGCTTTCGTGTGCCATCGAAAGCTCAGTCCCTTATGTTGCGTAAAGGAGCTCAACTGGGAGTTTGGTGCCACATGTTGTACGGAGCAGCTCGGATGCACTTGGAAGCCTGCTGTCCTTGGAGTCCTGTGTCACTTGGGCATCTGACATTCTCTCTGTGTCTGTAGTCAGCATTTGGATTTCCTCTGTTAGTACTTCGTTCTGCTTTGGCCTTGCGTTCGCTGCTTGCCGATTTCTTCCAGCTGGGACCATAGCAAGCATTCTGCCCACTCAGCAAGTAACCTTGCGCAGGTACGCCTTCATCCACAAAGATTGGCTGCCGGAAACGAAGTCGTGCGCCACCGAGGTGTGCAAGCATGGCAGCACGCGCCAAAGCTCGCAAGCTCGATGGTTTTGACGTATGCTTTCTCCGCACTGCTCGATCCATGTTCATTGTCCTTGCTGGGGTCTCGCCGCTCGCCGTTAGCATGCAAGCAATGAGGTACGACATGCAGACGGCTCCCACTTATCGGGATGTACCGCCCCTTGCGCTGCAACATACAGCCTATCCAACCCAAAGCACATAGCCTTGACATTGTTCTTTTCATACACCAATAAGCATTGCTTGGTTCATACACTGCCAAGTGGTCCTCAGACGTGTACGTCAACCAGCCCATGATGCCCTTCTTGCAAAAACGTGTCGGAGACGATTCCGTATGCAAGTGGTTCGTAGCGCCCTCTAGTGTGATCACAGTGATGGCATGTTCGTGTTCTCTTTCAGGGTACTTCTGATCACAAGGGATTTGTTGAAGATTGGAGCCGAAGCCTTGAACGTCAATTGTCAAAGCTTTTTGGTCGAAGCGTTGTAGCGTGAGCAATGATTGTGCACATTGGTGTGGTACGCCAACGTTGCTCAGCCCCACTTCCTGTCACGCTGCAGGGCCTAAAACCTCAGGATTTGGAGGGCTTCGGGCACGGCTTGAAAGTATTAGTTCTCCAAGAACGTCTCCTGCTCTGCAATATTTTTGACATGTGGGGAACACCAATGTTGGCGAGGTTGCACCCTCCTCCGGGGACGGCAGGTCCGCGCTACAGGCGTTAACTCTTGAGGACGGGTCGACTGTGAGAATCGATATTAGCATTCAGGGGCTCCTAATGGCTCCTGGGATATCACAAGGTGCTTCACAAAGAAACTCACCAATCTTGCTGCAGGAGGACGGCACAAGATCCACTCGGGCAAAGGATGAACACGGCTGCTCGCAGGGCTTCAGCAGCAAGCTGCGCTCTTTGTAGCCCCCACTTAAGGGAGCTCCCCTGCACGTAAATGAAAAGGTGCGGCCTACAAGTCGTCACACCGTTGGAGGTCGGACTTCTCGAGGGTATCAAGCCTTGGTCATGTGCACGAGACCAAGCTTAGTGGAAAAGACTTACTCCGTTGCCCTATTCGACTTCGCGTCCACTACACAACCTTAACAACCTTGAGAAGCTCCAAAAGTGCACAATTCGGGAGCTTCAGTTGGCCCATGGAGGTCCTGGCAGTTAACGTCGGGACTTCCTGGCATCCGCAGCATTCTTTGCTGAAAAGGTCTTCTGGGGAAAGCCCTGCATGACAAGACGCAGGTCAGTGCTTGCTGAGGTGGCCGAGTCTTCGTAGACCGGCTCCCTGCTCCTATCACCGACTCTGTGCCGTGGTTGTCAAGTTCCTGCACGCAAACGCCACGGTGTAGTGATACGCACGATGCTAATAATTGTGATATGGCAGGGTGCGCGCTGCGCGAGTGTGCTTGATTCATGGAGTGCTTCCTGGCAGATCCAGTTTCGCACGGAGCTGCTGCCGAGCGTAGGCCGGGCTCACCAGTGCTTTCGGGATGATGGAATTAGCATATATTGAGAAGCAAAGACTAAGAGGAGTGCCCTCCTCCCCTAATGCGCAACTGTGCATCTTGATCGATAAAGCAATGCGAGACATTGCGATATTGCTCAGAGCCATGCTCTGAACTACAGTACAGGGATATCCACTTGGAGAGAGGGTTGTCATGCACCATTGAGATCTGAGAGGACATGGACTGCTCGTGTGATATCTGAAGAGTTCTGGGCATCCTTGGGTTGAAAGGATCAGAGCGCTTCTGGCGCGAGCCATTCTTCGTGCGTCTTAAAAATGCTTTGCAAGCACGGACCCACCTCCAGCACTGTCTTGGACCCCCAAGCTTGGCATGAGCCCGCCAGGCGTGCAGCATACCCCGACGTTGTACATGTCCAATACCGCGTGGACCCCAGGCTTCTTGTCAGTTCTTGTGTCATTGGAGGAATTGATCTTCGGCTTGTAAAGCCTTGTGGAATCGTATAGTCTTGTGCAGATCTCTTTTACAGGACCCATATTTCTTGCCGTACATCACCAACGTTTCCTCCTTTGTGCGGAGCCCAGCTCAGGCTTTACGGTAGAGGCCATCCGTGTGCATGTTGCTGGTCGAATGGTTGGTCCAGGTCTGGTGCATCCTTCAAGCCAGATTGAGTCAGGAGTTTCACGACAATCCCCAAGAGGGTCCTTCATGATCTCTGAACACTCTGGGCTGGGCCACAGTGTTTGTAGGACCTCACCACAAGCGCCTTGAACCCTGAGGTCGTCAAGCCGAGCCATCTTTCGGAGAGCGAGTCGGTGGTGGTGGTGCAAAACGTTTCGAGCCCAGTTCTGAGGCAGCTCGGAGTCCTGCGTAGATATGGAGTCGCGCGACAAGTTCGGGGCTGAAGAGGATTGACTCGAGACCCGCCTGTAAGGCAAAAACCATTCTTTTCGAGTACTGAAGATTTGGCCAAGGGCACCTATGCCTTCGACATCCAGCTGCACGGCTCGCCTTTACCAGCTGCGGGATTGCCGGTGGATAAGGCCTCTCACCCGGCACCTGCTTCGGAAGGTACTTGTACGTTGAGCTCCCATGAGGGTTTCGGCTTTATGGAGCCTGATGATGGTACGGAAATTTGAATGCACCTTGAATGTATTCCCTGGGTACGCAAAGTATATGCCGAGTTGCCTATCCTGACGTTGAATCCGGAAACCGCCATTTGCAAGGAGATGCTGCAGCAGCACATGTACGAGGCATTTAACAGGCACGGGCGCCAGATCGCTGTGTCGATTGGTGCCTTCTGAGATGGTTACACTTAATTCTTAATATTTTCATTGGCTGTCTGGGGTCTGACACCCTCAGCCCATGCCCAGTCACAAAGATATGCGAGCGGTTGTTCGTTCTTCGTCACTAAATGCGCTTCTGGGTATGTGACATGGCACTAACAGATACGGCATCCAGATTCAAAAGCAGCAGCTACCATCCCCAACAGATCCCGTTGTACCTGGGTGATCCGGGGAGGGGCAGCGGAAGAGGTCGCCTCCCACAGTTGGCCGCTCCGTTGACCTGTCTCAAAGTCTGTAGCCAGGACAGCATTCGATTGGGAATGCCAGGCTGCCGGATACTCAGGACTGGATTGATGCAACTCCAAGCTTGTACTTCGCTCCAGCGCATTCTGTCAAGAGGTCCGAGCTGCTCGGCCGGGCGTGATCGTACGCGCCCCAAGACCCCCGTGCAAGAACAGAGTGCAGAACTGCGCTGCTTCGGGCCGCCCGGATCTTGTATCCGGTGACAAGACGTGACCTGAGCTTTGGGTGTTGTTCAAACAACTTCGAACCTTCAGCGACAATCCTCTGAGAGCCTCAAAAAGAGGACTGGAACCTGAGACGTCTTCGAAGACTTACTGGATCGCAACAGCGCTCGCCTTGCCCAGGTGGAGCGCATGATCACTGCGCGGCTGGATGGTGCCTCAGCGAAAGAACGGGTGGAAGAGGCCGGGCTAGAAGATGTTTGGCTGATGTTAAGGGAGGCCTGTGCTGACTGCTGACATCACAGGTTCGATTCCACGTGGTATGGGGTCGAACGACCGTCGTTGCCGCACGGCAGCAGAGCGAATAAATCCATGCACGTCCTCTGTTATGTTGTCCTCCTTAGGGAGTTGAAGTTTAGTTTTCCGGGGTGCAGTCTGTTGCTCCGGATTTTGACCGTGTGCCTGCCATGGCACGATGCTTAACATCTCGTTTCTTGAATTCCTGAAGTTGTGCGCGCGGGCTGAGAGCCGTGCATGACTCCCACTGGTCAGGCCGTAGGATCTGCAGATCTGTGGTCTTTTTCGTTAAGGCACAATTTTAGGTGCATCTCAACACTTAGAGGCCAAACGCCCAATCGATC